GTAAATTCACGGCTTTCAATGTAGTGTTGAAAATGCCGGACAGCACAATACATAGCTAGGAGTTCCCTACCGAATGTGCTGTGCCTCGATTCAGTGTCTAGCAACCGTCTAGAGAAAAATGCCACAGGTTGCCAGGAGTGGTTAACCCATTGTTGTAAGACTGCTCCGATTGCTGAGTCGGATGCGACTACTGAGATGCTAATGGGCGCTTTAGGGTCCTGATGAGCAAGCATTGCTGCTCGAGAGATATGTTCCTTAACCGTGGAGAATGCTTTTCGGGTAGTGTCATCTAGATTAATGGATTTCGCATTTCCACGAAGTTGGTCGGTAAGGGGTTTCATAAGTAACGCGCATTTCGGTATGAATCGTCTATAAAAACTTACCAGACCGTTAAACGTGCGCAATCGCTTGATGGTGGTCGGTTCTGGGTAATCCAGAATGGCCGCCACTTTCGTTCTAAGGGGTCGAATGCCATGCGCATCTATAGTGTGTCCTAAGAAGTCTAAGGATTCGGTTCCGATTTGGCATTTCTGAATGTTTACGGTAATGCCATGCTTTTGTAGTCGGTCGAAAACAATATCCAGATGCTGGAGATGTGATTCCCTGTCCGGACTTGCTATTAGACAGTCATCAACGTATGCATGTACGAAGTTGAGACCTCGAAAAACGTCATCTATGAACCTTTGGAAAGAGTGTGCCGCGTTTCTCAGACCGAAAGGCATTCGCAAAAATTCATAGAGTCCGAAGGGCGTTATAATAGCGGTTTTTGGAATGTCTTCAGTGGCCATAGGAATTTGGTTATAAGCTTTTACCAAGCCAATTTTTGAAAAGACAGTTGCACCTTTCATGGTAGCTGTCAAATCGTGAATGTGGGGCAACGGGTAACGATCGGGAATGGTTTTTGCATTCAATCTCCGATAGTCACCAGTTGGACGCCAATCGTTGCTGTCCTTTTAAGGGACCATGTGCAACGGAGATGCCCATGGGCTATTTGACGGTCGTATTATTCCTAAGTTTATCATATGGTCGAATTCGTTTTTCGCCAACCTTAAATTTTCGGGGGCCAGTCGGCGTGCTTTAGAGAAGACAGGTGGTCCTGTAGTCGTGATGTGATGTGTAACGTTGCTGATTACACACGGCAATTTCGGTTGCGATTGGTAAATGCCAGAATATTTATCGAGTAGTGGTTGGTAGAAGGGGTCTGTAGTGTGCTTAATAGTGACTGGGGATAACCTGCAACCAGAAAAAGAGGTCAGGCAAACAGATAAATTAGTGTTTCCGTCTACTAGTCTCCGTTTGCGCGTATCGATCATTAAGTTGTGGTGCTGTGGATGGTCCATACCAATGATTGGCATAGAAACATCTGCAACAACAAAAATCCAGTGAATGGGTTTGCGTAAACCCACGTTGAGATAAACATACCTTTGGCCATAAGTAGCGATAGGCTTTCGTCTGCCGCCTGTAGATTTAAAACAGGCTCGTGTAGCCTGTCGTCGGAATTAGCTGGGAGAACGCTAACCTCTGCGCCAGTATCTACGAGGTAGCGAACTCTCGTTATCACATCAGTGACATATAAAAGACGGCAATGTTCGCCGGCTACGGTCGCCGTTAACGCGTGCCGGCTTGGAAGTTTCCCGAAACGTTCTTCGCGTCGACGGATTTCGCGTTGGGGAAATTGCAGGGTTTTCTGCAATTTCTGGCAGACTCCGTACTGGTTATGGTACCAGCACCAATCAGAATTATCCGTCTCTCGAGTTCTAGTGACGGATCGCCTACGTGATGTGCTTCTCCGCGGAATAAGTGATCGTTTACGGTCGTTACCGAGTTTGAGATAGCGCGTAAGTGTATGACATAACTGTGTTATGTCATTCTGGGTCGTTTGAGGCTTTTCTTTGACTGAAAAAACCTCGGCGTTAGGAGACCTAGTGATCTCGAGAATGCGATCGGCAGATGCCGCTAGTTCGTCTACGGCGTTGTTCTGGAACGAGACCAAAACAGCTTGCACCTGTTGAGGAAGTTTGGATAAGAAAAGTTGCTTGAATAGGCCGTCATCGAAGGTTCTTTGGCCAATGACTTCTCGCATTCTTTGCAACATGTCTGTGGCAGAACCGTGTTGCAGGTTGATGTTGTTAAGGAGTTGGTCTAACCTTTGTCGATAGGTTAGATCTCCGCGTTTAAGGATGGCCTGTTTCAGTGTTTGGTATGGATCAGAAACATCACTAGTAAACATACTAGGTGTTACGTACCTGTTGAATTCGCGCGGTAGTGCCTTGACTACTGCGAGGAATTGTGCACGCGCATCGTTCACACCGTGCTCGTAGAAGTCGGCTTCTGCATAACAAAACCAGGCTTCGATGTTGTCTGGCCAGAAAGGCATAAGTTGGAAAGAGGGTGGGGACACAGTCTTTAACTTAAATACTTTAGGGGTCTGTTCAGTCATAGTAATATACCAAGTACGAAGAGTGAACGAGTGGCAAATATATATATGAACCCAAAAACACGGGAAAAAAATATCATAATATAAAAAAAAGAAATTAAAATAAGACAATGATATATAAAATCACAAAAAGGAACAGACTCACAGTTTACAATATGGTGTACCAGATCACGTCGGGCTCACCAATGAAGATGCTACAGTTATTTGGAGTTTGACAACGCTTTAACCAGTAACACCTTCTAATACGAAGCGCACCCACCAAGTAAAATCAAAAGAGAGAAGCGAGGAGATCGAAGATATATTTGATAAGCTATCAATATATCGAGGATCGTTTGCACTAATCTGGCTAGCGATTGAGGCAGATGTTGAGCACGGCGTTCCCACACGTGATCTGGTGCGGATGCTTGACCGAGCGCCTTCAGCTAGATGAGTCCACTAAAACTGTGGTCAGCATCCAATGTCGAAAACTTACAGAGCTATTTGATTTTGGGGAATTATTTACCGCTACAACATCTAGCATTTCCCAAGAACCCATTTGAGCTGGGAAGGAACTAGTATTTTCGATACAACTGGCAAGTGAATATAAAAAGTGACCATGCCCTCAGAAACGAGCGATGACATTTCCATTCATGTTGCCGCGTTCACCATTAATGATCTGTTCTTAACGTCACGTGTTGATTGTATATCTTCTCAATAATTGTACGCTCAGCTTCTAAGATCGTGTGATTAGGAATCAATACAAGTAAAACCCTAAACCAAGAAATGAAGTTCGCCAAACAAATAATTTAGCATTTTCATCAATTATCCTCCGTTTCATTGGATGGACGAGTAGTTCATGGCATCGTAGCAGCTCTGTACCAGTTATTGACGCTGACAAATCTGTAAAAAATTCTAGTGAATGGATTTATATAAATCCATATTGAGACAAACGTGTCTTTCACTTCATGTAACGACCGTAGGTTGATTACGACTCAGTGGTGTCTAGGCTTAAGGTTTGCGCGATACCGAATGTTATGTGTTTATGCCTTTTGTGCAGGGATCGCGTATGTACGTTGCTGAGGAATCCCATACTGCAACGAAACGCGTACAGTGCTAGTAGATTTTAAATGGTGATATAATATTGATCAATTCATGGCTGCTATAAACACTCAATAACCTACACAACCCCATGCTGTTAACTTTACTTCGTGTGATTGAAAAACACTGCATCGTTACATCCTTTTTAAACACTACCGTGAGACCGTTTGGTGTTTAATAGGGCATCAACTATCAGATCAATGAGAGTGAAGGCAATACACCATAGAGCCCCGAAACATGAAAGGCGTATAAACATGAAATTACATCTACCAGTCGTCTATAGTTACAACGCATATTGAACCTTGAATGTAGAGAGCGGCTCCTGTGTTCTTTACGTTGCAACATTGTCGATTTCTGTTTCTAGTTTCATTTGCAACACTACCTTCAGTCAACGTTTGAGTGTTGGTAATTGTTGTTGGTTACTCGTTTTGCTAGTTTCAAACGTTATTTATGTGCCCAACGAGTTATCTGCACACTTTTCAGATTCAGATTTGTGTATACACTAATCAATCTGAAAAATCCTTATTATAGTAATGATAGACGGCCTAAGGCATGTGTTGGTCTTTTCTAGTAAGATTTTGAGTTTTTAATCTCTTGAATGAGTCGAATAAACGGATGGACACCACTTCTAGTAACACGTTCCAAGGATTGATGATTGGCTTCTATACTTGTCTGATATGTCCTCTGAGTTATCCTGATCTGTTAAGAAGAGAAAGAAGATATATCAGATCCAAAATCATTTATTATTCTGTATCAAAGTCATATCACCTGTTAATGTGCGATAGGACAGAGTTGAGTGGTCCACCTTTGTGTGATAAACCCTGGAGTTGCACGGACAACTGCCCCCCTTACTTTTTCCAAGATATCCGAGTCACCCTTTAAACACAGACTTGCAGCCTGGACGCAGTTTTCAAGTTTGGATTTCGCTAAAGCTGTGTGTACTGTAGTGAACATATCAGTATCTAACTTGGTAAATGTCAGTCTTAAAGCCCATAGGCTTGTAAACCCCGTAGCTGCGACCACGCAGAAGTGGGCTGTGGTCTTAAAATCTTGCATCGCTGTCACCCAAACATCCTTGTGAGGCCGGACTACAGGCACAGACTCTCCCTCTATACTGTACCTAGTCTTCTCAGTGAGACCATGATTTGTGAACGACGTTTGAGCGTTGCCAACGTGACTCTGAGAATGTCCACCTAACCAGCAGGGATAAATGAGGGTTATAAACTTGTGTGAAGAATAAGGATTCTGATTTACAGTTGATGGTTTGGGTTATGAATCACATTTAGGATTTTCATCACGAACTGATATCAGCTAAAATGCCAAAACTCTATTTAGCTGAATGGATGAATGAATTCCACACCAAAACATGTTTTAATTCTGATTAGTTCGTCCATAAATTACAGTCTTGCCGTCTTTTTTTTTCTTTGATTATTCCCTTCAGATTCTTACATTTAAATTACCTCCAAACCAGACGAAAACCTGTCAGCAACTGAATGCTATCGCATCATAATGGCAGGAGTAAAATTTATTAGAGTTTGCGAAGATGATAATGAGAGTCCCATTGAGGTCCCGATTGAAGATGATGGCACAGTACTTCTTGCCACACTAAAGTCCGTGTTTCCAAAATCAACTGGCCTCAAATACTTAGCGCCTGATTCAGGTTGCCTGAGGGGTGTAAGGCTTAATGATGGAAAACTCTATGCTCCATCAGATGGATGGGTGCACGTTTATCAATGTGCATTACCTAGAGGTACCTTTATCTTTTTTTGGTATTCCGTAATGATATATAGAAAATAAGCGAAAAGGTATAGAAGAGAAAGACACTTACAGCTCGAAGTTTAAAAGGCTAGAGGAGAAGAAGTGTACAGACCTAATTGTTTTGAACTTGGCCTGGAAAACTGATGAGTCCACACTAAAGGAATATTTCTCACGTTATGGTGACCTCGTAACAGTTCAGGTATTTGCTGTTGTATTAATCATGTTGCCCAGGTTAAAAGACATCCCGATTCCAATTTGAGCAAAGGGTACGGATTCATTCGGTATAGCGATATGGAATCGCAAATTATGTGTCTGTCTGAACGACATAGTATAGATGGACGCTTGTGTGACGTCAGGATACCCATCTCCAAGGTAAGGATAAAGTTCTTACAAAATCCGTAGTTGGAAGGAGATCGTCAAGAAGTTAGCCGAAAGGTACATGTGGGTGGAATTACTGAGTCCATTACAGCCTCTGTGCTAAGAGATTACTTTTCACAATTTGGTGCAGTAAGTTGCATTTTCATTGTTTATTTGCCGATAGGTACTCGATGTATTTATTCCCAAGCCGTTTCGTTCATTTGCCTTCGTATCATTCGAAGATCCTGAAGTTGCAGCGGAACTACTGGGAAAAGATCAAGTTATAGAAGGTGTTTGTGTGTCAATCGGCTCTGCAGTCCCCAAATTACACCCTCAGCAAAATCGAAATAGTCCTATGTATCCTAGTTCGCATTTTGGAAATTCGCACAACCCTTGGGGTATTTTTTTGTACTGTAAATTCATCTCCTTTGCTTTTTAGCCTGGCAATACAACCCAGTAATGAATGGTCATGGTTCACGTGATTTCAACACTGGTATGTATAATTCCATGCAAGGTTATAATATGGCGTCTCATTCACCATTCGGAAACAATTTTTCTTCATATCAGCGGCAATACAGCTCATATGCGAACAGAATCAATATGTAGGGCTGGTATGTTTATCCATATTTATTGAAGTATTTGAAGTAATCGCCATTTTGTGATTGTAATTCTTTCCATCACATTGCGTTACTTAATTTGTGTGAGCACATTAATATTTTAGATATTCGGTCAAACATATTGACCTATGTTTGTATGTAGAATAGTGGAACGCAGCCATTAACTCAATAGACAAACAATCCAGGAATCATTGGAGTGATTTGCAAGCTGTCGTCTAATACAGGTTGACCAAGTAATGAAAGTATGACTGGGATCAATGAAGTGACCAATGCTTATGATGCACTTAATTAGCTACCCTCGACCACATGAGAAATAAGGTGAAGAATTACCCTAGTTAATTAACTAAGTTAGCATAGATCATCATAATATGTATACTAAGTTGAGTTTATAGTATCATTTGAGTGTTCTTGATGATTATAATGAAATTTATGTCATCAGTCCGATAGTCAAGTAAGTACATGAGCAAACCAATAATGATCGCATTTAACTGAAATGAAAGACGCTTTCATGTGATAAATGCAAGATTTGATTTCCATTCTGGAGAATCATTGCCTATTTAACTCGGCATAAATATACCCCTTTATTGGTGTATTTGTTCACCAGATACAGTTGGTGTTTTTAACGTAAAGGGCTTTTATCAAACTGAGATATTCTTAGTAAGGCTTTCTTATTGATAGCTAGATATTTCCCCTGATAATAAAATTAATAGTGCATCTCACATGATCGACGTCGATCCTATCAGTGGTATGGTTGTCTTTCACTTTGACCGGTTATTATTTACAATCTTTTAGTAATGTCGTGCTCATTGTGGTACAGAATACTTACATGTTGGTGAGGGTATATAGTTTATAAGTTTCAAGTTCTTGTTTCCAGTTTGTTGTAGAGCTTAAATAGAAAATAAATATTGTTCATTGTCTTTACATTTAATGAAATTCGATCATCGAATATCTATTCGTATTCCCGACTTTGAACCCCACATTCTGGGTAAGCTAGTCTTACCAGCTGGAAAGGCCGTGTTTAGTATCAGCTATGATAACAACACTACTCAACTCTCCACTAATCAGTGAGCGACCAGCCTCCGTAACCATTTTATGCTTTCTTATATATTTATTTATTTTAACATAGGTATTGGTACACGGAGGCACCAAATACATATGCGCTATACGAATCTCAAATGATTTGTGTGAGGGCTGTGATACTGCCCGGGTGCCCAAACCGAAGCAGGTGATTTTCTCAGGGGGCCACACCCCGAGCCTTCGACCTGGACGTCTGACGATTGGTTCATACGCCATTTGTTCCTTCAGGATACTGGAGCCCATGTGCACCATTGGTTTGGGGTCCGGTTAAAGCACCGGACATTCGCTTTTCGTCCTCTCATCTTCGTAAACAACACCCCCGACACGAGAAGGCAGTGAGTAGGACTTCCCTGGCAAAGCCATGTGAGAGCATTTCGAGAGGGAGAGCGGACTCTCCCCACTCTCGGCCGTACCAGGGCATTTGGGGGCATTTTATGCTTTCATGTATTTAAATATCTATTGCTCTTGCTAAGATTGTAAATTCTCCGTCTAGTCACTACTGCTAATGCTAGTCAATGCACTCACTTATTTCCTGTGCTCATTTGTTACTTCTGTACGCATGTTGCCCCTCCTGAAGGAGCATAAACCGCACACCAACACTCCATCCAACTCTGTCCTGGACAATCCTTTCCAGTTGCTATTCATCCTTTTGGTGTCTCCTTCCGATTCCCGACGCAGTATGATCTTTGGTCTTCCTCTTTTTCGTTTCCCTTCACGATCCCAAGTTGGGGCTTGCCTCGTGGTGCAGTTTGGTGTAATCCGAAATGTATGTCCTGTTCACTTACAGCGTCTTTTTCTGATTTCCTCAGCTGGGAGCTGGTTTGTTCTCTTCCCCAGCAGGCTGTTGCTTATGGTGTCCGGTCAATGGACATTGATTATCTTGCATAGACAACTGTTTATAAATATTTGTACCTTCTTGTTGATAGCTGTAGTAGTTCTCCAAGTTTAAGGTCCATACAGTGGGACTGTCTTGATGTTCGCATTGAAGATTATGACTTTGATATTGGTTGAAAGTTGTTTTGAATTGCATATGTTCTTCAATTGTGGGAATGTTGTCCTTGCTTTGCCGATCCTCGCCTTTACATCTGCATCGGATCCTGCTTGTTCACCAATGATGTTCCCCAGGTACTTGAAATATTCCGGCTCTTCCAGAGCCTTTCCATCAAGTGTGATTGTGTTGGTGTTCTCTGTTTTGTACTTGAAGATCTTGATTCTCCCTACTGCTACAGAGGCTGCTGCTACACTAGTTGTCCTCACCTGAATTTGATGTGTAAGGGATAGAAGGGCCACGCTATCTACGAATTCCAAATCTACTGATTCCGTGCTTTTCCTCAGATGTCGAGGTCTTCATAATCCAGTCGACCACCTGACGAAAGAAGAAGAATGAGAGTAAGCAGTCTTGTCTGTCTTCGGTCCTCACTTGGAATGCATTTGTTATCTGTCTTGAATACACGACTTGCACTGTATTCCGTCGTGTGAATTCCGTATGATATTGATAATCTTTCCAAGTACTCACTCCACACCTGATTTGTTTGATGGTCATCCTGATTTCTTCGATCGTTGGTGGGGTGACATCTATAGAAAAGTGCAGTAGGTTCAGTCAAGCTGGCGCATTCAAGCATTTCTCAAGGTATTCTGCCCATCTGTTCCTTTGCCCTTGAATCTCGATGATTGTCTTGCCTTCTTTGCCTTTGACTGGTCTCTCTGGTTACTGTATTTCTTCATTGTGGCATATGGCTGTCTCATATTTCTTCTTGCAGCTTTTTCCGCTGTCGTTGCCAGATCTTCCACATATTTCTGCTTATCGACTCTAATGATCCTCTTTAATTGCTTGTTTGCTTCTGTGTACTCAGCTTGTACTTTGACTTTCTCTGCTCTTGTTCGGCTGCTGTTAATTGCTGTCTTCTTGTTCTTCTTTTGTTGAATCTTGTTCGGAGTATCGATAGAGATGCATACCTTGTGATGATGCTTCTTGCCGCCCAGTACTTCCTGACACGTTAAAGTTAGTGCTTCTTTGATCCTTTCTGGTTGTTCTCTATGGTAGATTCTCCTCTGATTAGATACTGTAAGGCTTGGAACCCGTTGTTGAGAGTTATCTTGAGTTCGTTGAGTTTGTTAGTATCTCGTAGGAAGGCTGTATTAAACATTTGTACTGCTGTTTTCTCAGCTTTCCAGTATTTACTTAGCTTCAGCTTCATCTTGGCCACAACCAGGTGGTGATCTGGTAATAAGCTCCTATCCTGGTTCTCATGTCTTCCATTGTCCTTCTGAATTTTTTGTTGTTACAAATATGATCTATCTGGTTCTCGGTGGTGTGGTCGGGTGAGACAGACCCATGTAGAATTGTGTATGTGTTTTTGGGGGAATTTCGTGCCACCTATAACCAATTTGTTTAATGCACATAAATTTGCAAATCTCTCACCACCCTCGTTCCTTTCTCCCAGTCATACCATGCCGTCCCACAATATTTTCATATCAAGTGCTGTCCATTTCTACTTTAGTGTTTAGGTCTCCTATCAGAATGGTGAGGTCTTTTTTGGGTACTTCGCTATGATTGATTGCAGCCTCTCATTAAAATGATCTTTATTGTTGTCATTGCTATAATTGTTGAGCATATTGCACTGGACAATATTCGTTGTTATTTCCAACTACTTGGTTTTGAATGGTGTTTTGGTGATTCAGGATCCATGAGATTCCCATCCTATAAGTGCTTTTCGTGCTTTTTCTGACAGCATCAGAGCAACTCCCTGAGTGTGCGGAGCATTTTCCTCTTCGTGACAGAGTACAGCAACATTTCTCCCGAATCTTTCCTATTTTGTTCAGATAGGGTTCAATGCGTTTCACTGATTCCGAACATTGTCAAGTTGTATCTCATTATTTCGCCAGTTATTTGGTTGATCTTTCCGGTCTCCCACATTGTCTGGACATTCCATGTACCTATATAAGTTGTTGCTCTGGTTGTTAGAAGGGGCATCGGCCTCGTAACATTCGAAGAATCTCGCCTTTCATCATCAGGCGTCATAATTTTTCCATCAACTTGTGGGGCAGAGCTTAAATGGTTTTATTTGTTTAATCTGGTTGGCATCTTTTAGCTAGATTTTTTTCTACCGGATGGGGTTGTCGATCCCACGTCCAACCTTCCTTTGTGTGGGCTTGAGACCGGCAGTAACTTCAGAAGAGCTACAGGCGGAGTTGCTCATTTTTTAGTAGATATCGAAATATGTGCCCAAATATTCATTGACTTTATTTTATTTTACACCCGAATAACAATTTGAACTTGAAGCAGTTTAATTTTAGTGAATATATCTTGTTGTATGATCGGTGGTCATACGAATTAGATACTGCAAATCAATTAGATGGAAAAGCTTATAATTCTGTAACTTTAATATACAAAATCGGTTTAATGTCTCTATATCAACTCATGTCTTTGTCTTTAGTAGATGTAAAGACTCACTGTAATGTTTTTTAGGATCTATAAGTAACGTTTCCCACAAATTCACAAACTTGAGTTCTGTATATTAGCGTCATTTCTTCAAATGTAAACATTATTCCAGATGTGCAGCCAATTTTCTTATAGCGTTTTAAAGTGGTGCCGTCTTCACTGTGAGAACAAAGTGATCTCAAATCAGTTTTCAGATACTTTGCCAAACTAGGCACCTACTAATAGAAAGAAGCATATATGAAGGTTTAGTGTGGTGGATACTGCTAATGTATTGATACTTCAAGTATATTGTGGCAAAAATATTCCAGGCGAATGCTCAAATCTCTTTTGTTCTTGCTGTACCATTTTATTGGCAGTTATCAATATAATAACTACTCAAGTACTTCTTATTTATTATCCATAAAGATTTATAGTTTGATCAATACGTACTCTCAATGTTCTGTATTTAAAATTTGAATCTAATAAATGTTTTTTTTTAAATTTCTTATTCATTTTCTCTTATTCATGTGGTTTTAATATTTAACGAAGTCGTTTAGGAGGTCTAAACAGAGGTTCTGTATGCGCTGACACCCGTCAGTAAGATGTACCTATAATCTCGAAGAAACTTGATGATATTCATCTCGTAAGTAATCTCCTATAAGCCCGGTTGCCTGAAGTAACTAATATCATACTGTACAATCCTTAGTACTTCGTTAACCTATTTTCACCTAGTCTTTTTTTTTGTACTCTGTAACTGCATATTAGTTCAGCAATTGGAATAAAAGTCACCTTTAGTCAATACTGTTATTTTGTATTATATTGAAGTATCTTAATGTTTTGTTGGCTAAGTATTGTCGTTCACTGAGAAAAAAAAGTTGCTTCATTACACAAAATATGTTGTTTGTCAATTGTTACAATAAAATGAAGTGTGATTATTAGCTTCTGTATAATAAAAATTAATTTAACTTTGTTCGTTTTATCTATATACTCTTTCCAATTTAGCTTTGAACGTCTGTGTTTGTCTGTACAAAAAGAGTGAATCATCAGAAAGGCTACATCAAATTTCCTACTGAGTTTCTGCAATTGGTGCCACTGATAATAATGCGTGATGATGAATGAATGATGAATTGACCATGCACATAAATCACATTAAGTCTATATATATTTTATGCTGTAATATATGTTCTCATAAGTATGTGTTTGATTGTGTTTATTAAAATGCGTTTGTTTTCTTAATGTAAAACTCAATGGATTTTATTGTACGTGTGTTAACACTTCCTTACATGTTTACTTACTTTAAATAGCTATTCATCTTAATAAGCACTGAATGTTACCAAACTCTCTTTTTATCATTGTGTGTAGCGTTTAATTTACATTTCCATACTAAAATGTTTGAATTGACTTCATTATTGACTTACATTTATATAATGTTCTTCTCAAAGAATATCGTAGCATCATCATAAAAATGCACTTATTTATTACATCTGTCCCTGAAAAAATGCAGCTACAAAATATTTTTGTGACATATAAGGTCGTATACGTCTATAAAATATTTTATGCTCGTAAATATGAAAACACTTGGGAAAATTTTCTGTTCGCTTGCACACTGAAGGATTATACCTTATCTTAAAGAGAGTATATAATAGCAAGTATCAAAAATCTTTTTCTATTTGATTCTTAAGGTGAATCACAAATGTTTTTGGTACTTTTGTTTGCTTAAACTACTTTGGTGTTGTGACGTAGTAACGTGGATTTTGTTATTTCAAGGATTATATTTTACACCTAAAACAATTCAATAATTACTTACTTACTTACGCCTGTTACTCCCAATGGAGCATAGGCCGCCGACCAGCATTCTCCAACCCACTCTGTCCTGGGCCTTCTTTTCTAGTTCCATCCAGTTCTTGTTCATTTTTCTCATACCTATCTCCATTTCTCGGCGTAATGTGTTCTTTGGTCTTCCTCTCCTCCTTCGACCTTGAGGATTCCATGTGAGGGCTTGTCTTGTGACGCAGTTCGGTGCTTTCCTCAATGTTTGTCCTATCCACTTCCAGCACTTCTTCCTGATTTCTTCCTCCACTGGGATCTGATTTGTTCTCTCCCACAGTAGGTTGTTGCTAATAGTGTCCGGCCAGCGGATTTGAAGTATTTTGCGTGGACAACTGTTAATAAACACCTGTATCTTTTGGACGATGGATTTCGTAGTTTTCCAGGTTTCGGCCCCATACAGTAGAACTGTCTTGACATTTGTATTGAAAATTCTGACATTGGTGTTAGTTGCCAATTGTTTTGAGTTCCAGATATTCTTGAGTTGTAAATATGCTGCTCTTGCTTTGCCAATCCGTGCCTTCACATCTGCATCAGATTCACCATGTTCATCGATGATACTGCCCAAATATGTAAAGGTTTTTACATCTTCCAAAGTTTCTCCGTCAAGTGTGATTGGATTGTCGCATGCTGTGTTGTATCGGAGAATCGTGCTTTTCCCTTTGTGTATATTGAGACCTATTGCTGCTGAGGCTGCAGCTACGCTGGTTGTCTTCTCCTGCATTTGTTGTTGTGTGTACGATAGAAGAGCCAGATCATCTGTGAAGTCTAGATCATCCAACTGCATCCTAGCTGTCCACTGTATCCCGTGCTTCCATTCAGATGTTGACGTCTTCATGATCCAGTTGATCAACAGGAGGAAGAGAAAGAGTGAGAGTAAAAAACCTTGCCTGACACCCGCCTTTACCTCGAACGAGTCTGTCAGTTGTCCTCCATGCACAATTTTGCAGTTTGATCCATCATGGGAACTCCATATGATGTTGACTATCTTCTGAGGGACGCCGTAGTGTCGAAGAAGCTTCCATAGGGTTGTTCTGTCCACGCTATCAAATGCTTTTTCGTAGTCGATGAAGTTGATATAGAGTGATGAATTCCATTCAATTGATTGTTCCACAATGATCCGTAGAGTTGCGATTTGGTCTGTGCACGATCTATCCTTACGGAATCCTGCCTGTTGGTCGCGAAGTTGTGCGTCTACGGAGTCCTTCATCCTGTTTAACAATACCCTGTTGAAGACTTTTCCCGGTATTGAAAGAAGAGTGATTCCCCTGTAGTTGTCACAGTTGCTGAGATCGCCTTTCTTTGGTATTTTGACTAGAAGTCCTTCTTTCCAGTCTTTTGGTACCTGTTCCTCATCCCAGATCTTTCTGAAGAGAGTTTGGAGTATCCTTGCAGTTGCCGCTACGTCTGCTTTCAGTGCCTCTGCTGGAATGCTGTCTAGTCCTGCTGCTTTGCCACTCTTGATTTGTCTGATAGCCATGCTGATTTCTTCAATTGTCGGTGCGCCAACATCAATTGGGAGGTCCGTGAGTGCTGCTTCGATGTTGGGTGGGTTCAGTGGGGCTGGTCGATTCAAGAGTTCTTTGAAGTGTTCTACCCACCTGTTTCGTTGTTCTTCAATGTTGGTGATTATCTTGCCTTCCTTGCTTTTCACTGGTCGTTCTGGTTTACGGTGATTTCCGGAGAGTTTCTTTGTTGTGTCATACAGTTGTCCCATGTTTCCTTCTCTGGCAGCCTTTTCCGCCGTCATTGGTAAATCTTCCACATATTTACTTTTGTCAGTTCTGATGTTCTTCTTCACTTGCTTGTTTACTTCTGTGTATTCAGCCTGTGCCTTGACTTTTTCTGCTCTTGTTCGACTGGTATTGATTGCTGCTTTCTTGTTCCTCCTTTCTTGAATCTTATCCAGTGTATCGACCGTGATCCAATCCTTGTGATGGTGCTTCTTTTGGCCCAGAACCTCATGACATGTTGAAGTGATTGCCTCTTTTATCTCTTTCCAGTTGCTCTCCATAGTAGTTCCTTCTCCATTGAGTAGATCATGAAAGGCTTGGAACTTATTGCTGAGGGTTATCTTGAATTTATTGAGTTTGTCATTATCCCGAAGAAGAGCCGTATTAAATTTTTGGGATATTGTCCTCCCCGTTGTCCAGTGCCTCTTGAGTTTCAATTTCATCTTGGCGACCAGCAAGTGATGATCTGATGCTATATCAGCTCCTCTCTTGGTTCTCGCGTCCTCCATCGTCCTCCTGAACTTTTTGTTGATGCAGATATAGTCGATTTGGTTCTGTGTGGTGTGATCCGGTGAAGTCCATGTGGTTTCGTGTATGCGTTTATGTGGGAATATAGTGCCACCTATGACTAGTTTATTGAAGGCACATAGATTTGCAAATCTTTCCCCGTTTTCGTTCCTTTCTCCCAGTCCGTGTCGTCCCATGATCTCTTCATATCCGGTGTTGTCAATTTCAACCTTGGCATTTAGGTCTCCCATCAGAATAGTCAGGTCCTTTGTTGGGCACTTCTCGACGATTGACTGCAGCCTATCGTAGAATTGATCCTTAGCGTCTTCATTGTAGTCGTTGGTAGGCGCGTAGCATTGGATGACAATTGAATTGAATTATTAAATTCAATAATTAATATGACTGAAAAAATAATACTAGTATGTAACCCATTTTATTTTCAGTGTAAACAATAGTCATCAGTCATATTAAGCTATCGCGTTTTGGGGGTTTGACTGAGCAGTAATAATTAAATATTTAGACAGTTTGTACACCTAATTTTTTGTGTATTAAAATGAAGCGCAATTGACTCTTCTGATTGCTTTTAGGTGTAATCGTAATTAATTTGATTTCAAGACCAATACTTTTCAGTTTACAGCTAAAGAAGTAAGTGATGTTGTAAGTAAATCAGGGGCTGGTCATCCAACTAATTGTTCAATGAACGTTCATAGATGTAAGAATTCAGAGTGCAGAGCATTCTCCAAACAGTGTAATAGGGTTGACTTTATCAAAGCGATCCTAAGTTGGGTAACTGTAATTAAGACTCATAAATTTTAGATAACCGAGCTTTTCCAAAATTATCATTTAACATTTTTATACTTTCTTGTACATTTTTATCTAACCTGCTTAATCCTCCATCTAATCACTTTCAGATGTCATTTGATGAATTTTATCGTGATATTAAGTGTCATGGTAGTACAGCTCGGAATACCAATCTCACTGTAGTACTCATAAATCATTAAGTGTACTTTAATTATTTCGTTAGTACCTGTCTCATCAGTCATTTTTGTGATTATTAAAACTTGTCTTACCAGGTGATGATTAATTTGAAATAACTTATTTACCAGGTCCTTTCATGTAATCGGGTATAATTCATACTATGAAGGCTGGTGATACCACGTGAATCTTCAAGCAAGCTGGCGAGGCGGAATCCGAACTTGCAACTTACTGGTTAAAGTTCAAGTGCCGTAATCACTAATCCATTAGTCATACTAATTTTCTGTTTATTTTTATGATTAATGTACTGTTGCAGACACTGAGTAGTGCTAAATATATCTTACGCTTTAGAGATTTTTGACTAGTTTGATATATGGTTGCTGTGATGCGTCTTGGATGAAATTGTGTTCCTTTCCATACAACTGGTTTATTATAAACAGTAAATAATTGATCTCAAATTATATGCATGATCATGATCTTACCCAGTAGTCTAAACTAGTGTACGTGGAGTAAGACTTAACATTTCAATCATTTATTGAATATTAAACTATATAACTAGTGAATATCAGTCCGATCGTATCAAACCTCTGTACCTACTAAATTATCTGATATTCATTATAATTAAAACATGAGAAAGCTTTTATAAGTAACTTCGGTCAAGTAGATTTTCATGATATCCTGTTTTATTTGGCAATTTATTTATTAATTACAAACCTCTAATCCACACACAATATCAAACAGTTATATTGAAATGACCTATCGACAAACTAGTTTGTTTGTAACTAAACATTCAGTGTTCTGTCGTAATCGAAAATTTTATGGTGAAATATTGATCACATGGGGTTTATTAACATTCTTGCCGATCGCATTAGAGCAAATAAAGGCGGACCTATTTTCCTTTCAAACTGCAATCTGGTGAACGTTATAAACCTTCAAAAGACACTAAATTGAAATTGGGCGTATTTTTCTTATTTATGTACTGCTGGGCAATGCCTAGTTTTTATTATCAAGTAATCCGTGTGTATTTTCTTTCTAGAAAATGTAATTTTAAGATTGAGACAATAAATTGACACCTGGTAGAGCTTACTACAATACTACACAAACTTCGATTATTACTCTTAACAACATAAAATGTTTACATTCATTTTTAGTGTAGTTTTCGCTAATTATATGCGATACTCTCGTAAATAAATTGATTACCTGCTTTTAATAACGTGAATTCCTGTGTCTGTCATGAAAAATTGAGGTCATGCTCACAAATTTTGCGAGTTTATTGATTAAATTTCTACTTTTATAATCAGGTAGTTATTTTTTAATTTCAGTTAATTTGAACAACTTTAAATATGTACATTCATTTGTATTATTACTCTTGTATTTGAATTGTTTAGATAAAATACTTATTTATTCTGAATGTACTAATAACTATGCTGTTCATATTTTTTTGTTATAACAGTAGTAGTAGTAGTATGAAAAGTTACTTAGTTTTTACAATTTGTAACCTTGATCTATTAACCGTCTATGCAATATAGTGAACTGTTTGTCTATCAATATCTTGTAGATTCTGTATGATAATTCATATATGTTCATTAACTACTAGACTTGAAATCATGATTATATTGTTAGTTGTTGCCACAAAATTGTTTCTTCACTCTACAACTTAAATTTACTGAAATAACCTCAAAATAGATTGTATGATCAGATTACTTTCAGTAGATTAATGTTGAGCAGTCGTAAACACATATGGATTTCGTACAAGTATGTATCTGTCCGAACTATTGTATCTAACAGGACTGCTGAGGAAGCGAGTTAATGGAGTAATAATAATAAGTTAGGGATCTAGAGAAAAATAGAGGAATGGGACTGCAACCGATAGTTGAGTGATCTCATCTATGGTCTGTAAACACGAGTTACGGAACCAGTCAAAAGCTGACTGAAAGGATGATTTCATCAATCATGTACTCTAACATTTTTAAGTACCATCTTTTGTAAAATATCTTTTCCATCAAAAATATTGTATATCACAGAAATATATTGGCTCTACAAACTTCCAGTTGACTTTATATTTGACTTACTGGAATGTCAGTAGTCATGTTTTGTTCGAATCAGATCTTTGTTTGTTATGCTCCTAAAATATTTACTTGGATAGTTTTTTTCATAGTTCACTAACATTGCTGTCAAATGCCTACGGGGTTTGTTCACAGTGCAGTCTTTCACATGCTTCTGCACATTATTTCGCTTCTCATGAGATAGAACTACTAAGCGGTCGGATTGAAGTCGATTTCCATTTTGATTGGGATTATGTTATGCCTTCGAGTTGTTGTATAAAGCCATATAAACTTTTCCAAGCACTTCAGATAAAAGATTAAAATCTTTTACGACTAAGAAATATTGGATCTCAAGTGTATTAGAATCAACCACTCGGACTGAGAAACATCTATTATTCTTATAATGTTTTTAGACACTGAGATCGTGTAGAAGATTTGTACCTCAGACAGATGATTTTGATGAAGTTTTGTTCTCTGAGCTGGATAGTTTAGTCATGGAGCTTCCATCATCCTTTTAAACGACATCATCAGCACAAACTTCAGGTAGTCAAATCAATGCACAAAGTTCGCTTATTTGATTTGTGATATTATTTGAGTTCTAGAAAACGTGGCTGAAAGAATAAATTCTTCGAAAAATACCAGGGATCCAAACATCTATTTTTGTTTCGTGCTGGTTTTATTGACGTGATACAAAAGTGAATATTTTTCGCACTCCCAACGCGATGAGTAGTAGCAACTCAACCACATTTTATACGATTATGTAGCGATATGTGATGTTTTAACGTGGATTGCTTGGCAATAATTACGAGTCGGATGTTGTAATGTTTAAAAACAATCTTTATTTCAGAACAAACTTATTTTCAGGGATAAAAAGCTTTCTAAAATCAGAAACAGGAGTTAGTTTTAGTATTAAGAATTTTTCAGATTATTTAATACGTCTGCATATTTCTATCTTTAAGACTGCAACAAGACATTTTTAATGCACAGCAGACTCCAGTCGAGTTGATTACTACTATTTCTTCTCGTTGTCGTAAGTCTCTAGGATTCCTTTGTACATAATTTCACCCGACTAGTAATACTGGTAACTCATTTGTCGCAACCTATCCGCATGCGTCCACCTAACGTTTTAGCTTATAATCCACAGCATGAATGCTTAACCTATGACATCAACGGGGTAGATAGGTACTTTGAATTAAGACTGTTTGTAAGATAGAATGGAATTGTTGATGTTGAGATAACTAGTACCCAATGTCAAATTAAATAGGTCTACATGTTACATGAAACTATGAGATTAATAATGAGAACAAATATAGATTACATAAGACTACGTAATGTATGGAGTTATAGGAAATAATAAAGTAGGGTGATTGCTAATTAAATTATGTGTTTGGAAGACTAATAATACTGACAAAAATAATAGGAAGATACAAAAGAATGAGGCCTTTATGTGTATTGGTCTAATTAGGCCATCCCATAATTAAGATGAGTACTGAATTATTTGGCTTGCGGCTACCTGAGTTAAGAGAGTAAGGGTTGTATATGTCATTTTTTTATACATAGCATGGGTATTTTGATCTGAGTAGCGATCGCTCCTGCCGCTGAGTCTAAAAGACTAAAGAAAGTTTACTGCTCTTGTAAACAATCGGATTAGCCCGCTACTATGACCAGTTAGAACTAGTCGCGGCGTTTACGGTCTCGACTACATCTTTTGAAGGGTTTTCATGAGCATAAACATAAATTCCCAAGAATTCGTCCGACAGGACTTGCTCTAAAGGAACAATTGAATTTATAAATCCAAAACAAGGCACCCAGTTTGTGCGCTCCATCGTTTGTTTCTGGTGTTACTATCAGTCAAACACAATGCAGGACTTACTACATGTGTTCATCAGCTCAATCTTCTACAGCCCATTAGCAAAGTGAAATGAGATTTTCAAAGAAAACTAATGGTCGTAAAAAAAAGATCAGGCATCCAAGAAAAAGCAAATTAGTGAAACAATAGGGAAAAACTCACGAGGAATTTAGAACCCAAGCGAAGACAAGAATTTAATGCATCTGTGCCATTGTGAACTATTTTGAGCCCGGTCGTCTAGTCCCTAAACAATAGTCGTGCGGACCCCGGCTAGATAGTTTGCACCTACTTACATGTCTTGGTCTAACAATCAGTGTCTTCATGGACTGATGCCATATCTGGATTTGGCCGCCCCTAACTTCCAACCTACTCCCAGATTGGCCATTATCGCCCGTCGACTTAACCTGTGGATGTGTATACGTAATACATGTCTCAGTTGAAAAAGTTTCACTACCTCGCCAACTGGTTTGCCACACCTAGTACTCTGTGTGTAGCCTCAAAATCGCTAACGCTATAGTTCCAAAATATGAGACCAGTGCTTCACAGGGATCTATGATCGGATACTGGTAACCTATGAATATCCTCTTTTCAAAGGTAATGTCTCACATCCAGCCTGGTTTTCCTGAGTCCGGGCTAGGCGTTGGCTACTCATTGAGGTTAGGATTTTAGACAGTGTTCGTCAAACTGATTCCTGTGGTTTCCACAAGACTGGGACGGTCAGCGATAGGACTAGTCAGATGAGATTGCGACCAGTCCCCGGACTCTAGCTAAGATATCATTTAATCTAATACCTACGCCATTGTGATCGATTCTAAGCCATGTCACCAAGAGTCTCCAACCATTGGTTACGATAGTCACGCGGACCCCAACCAGGTAGTGTGCATCTACCAATATGGTTCAGACCAGAAGTTAGTGACTCCAAGCACTGATGCCACGTTTTGGTTTGGCCGCCCCTAACTTTCTTACAACCATCCCCAACACTAGTCAGCATTGCGCGTCGTTATAATCGGTGTTCAGGTATACGCAACACGTGGCCCAACCATCTCAGTCGATGAAGATTCATAACCTCATCGACTGATTTACCATCATTTCCTAATACTCTGCGTCTAACCTCACTGTTACTTGCCCGGTGATCCCAGCACATACCCGCAATATTTCTAAGGCACCTGTGGTCAAATACTAGCAACTTACGAATATCTTCTACTCTAAAAGGCCATGTTTCGCAGTCGTATAGTAAAACGGAACGAACTGCCGCGCAGTATACTCGCCCCTTAATTGATAGACGGACATCTTGCCTTCGTCGACGCGTTCGACAACTTCACTCCCTATCCTTAGTTCAGGTGTTGACGCAGACCAGTCCTGAGGCAACAACTTGCATTTAGAGGGAGAGAAGCACATCCCAAACATTCTGGCATTGTTGCTCAGTGCTACCAAAAGACTCTGCATTTCATCAGCGTCTTCATCAAACAGGACTATTTCATCTGCGTATTCTAAGTCAATAAGTGGACCTCCATGTAGGAGATCAATACCCGAGAATTCAGTCGATGAGAGCGTTATTTCCATCAGTAGATCTATGATGAAGTTAAACAAAAATGGAGAAAGTGGACAGCCTTGACGTACGCCACTTGAGGTTGCAAAAGCAGATGACAGTTCGCCATAAGCTCTGACTCGACTAATAGTGTTCGAGTAAAGAGCCTTCACAATGTTTATGTACTTCTGAGGTACGCCTTTCAATGACAGACACTGCCACAGAATCTCTCGGTAAACGGAGTCAAATGCTGCTTTTGAGTCAAGGAAGACCACCATTGTCGGACGCCGATAAGTGTGTCTGTGTTCTAGAACCTGACGAATGGTGAACATGTGGTCGATGCAGCCACGATCAGGTCTAAAGCCAGCTTGATTTTCAAGTGTTTGCAGTTCACGAGTCTTAGTTAGGCGTCCGATAATTACCGAGGCTAGTATTTTAGATACTATATTAGTCAAACTAATCCCTCTGTGGTTGTCACAGGATGATTTTGACCCTTTCTTAATTATTGGGACGATAAGTGATTGTGACCAGTTAGATGGGATAACGTCTAACTCCCAGATTTTAGCTAAAATATTAGTCAACCTAATCGCTAAAACTAGACCACCATCCTTAAAGACCTCTGGAGTCAAACCATCTGCCCTTCCTCGTTTCGGATTAGCTATAGCCTTTTGAACTTCAGTTAGAGTTGCGGGACCTACTTCAATGTTCCATTCATACTGTCTGGGAATGGTGGGTAGCTGTAGAGTAGCTGAAGGCCAGCTAAACTGCTCCTTAAAGTGTTCCCCCGACCGTAGCTGCTACCTTGACGTGGTGGTCGGGCTTGTCTATCGTGATGACCCAACCGAGCTATATTGGCTGGAACTCAAGTTCCTGCAGGTTCTACCATGCCAGGCAGGTCGATTGGAGAACGGTAAGACTAAAAGCAGCAACTCAAGGTCTGAGGGCGAAGTCGTACTGCTGACTGTACAGAGGTGTGACAGCAGTAAGGTGTTTCCCTCGGACAACCAGCATCTGCAGCGATGCTGCCTTCTCACAAGGAAGTAAGGGGTTAGAAAAGGTTGACCCTAAAAATGTCACACCTCACCTTACCCCACGGATTTCCGTCTCCGGCGGTAAGGCCCTTTGAAGAACGGAGCTAACACATTAAAAACCTCCCACAAAAAGGCCGTGCGCGACCGGCCTCAAGCAGTTGTCCCTTGGGCTCTGCGGTCACGCACTCAGGTC